TTAGACCTAACTAAGTGATTTTAAAGCTTAATATCCGGCTTTAAATCCTAACCCCCCTTACTAGCCGGGATAGTAAATTAAGCTAGAATTTTACCCTAAAAACCTCTATTATAGAGAAAGACCTATATCGATAGGCTTTATTAATTAAAGCTTTACTTTATATAAGATCTTAAAGCCTACCTAGCCTATTAGATTATATATTAAACTAGCTTATAAAAGGCTTCTGTCTTATAATATAAGGCGCTATCTTACTCGCTAAAGAAAATAAGGAATTATATACCGCTAATAAGAAGTAGAAGTAAAAGCGTACTCGATCCCGAAGGTAGATACCTAGTAAAGAAGGCCTCTTAGTTTACGAAGTATCTGTATTAATTATATAGTAATAGGAAGCAACTAAAGCCCCCCCCCCCGGCCCTAGTATACCTAGAGAATTAACTATTCAGCCACATACGCGGCCCCCCTAGGGGTATGGTATATATAGATTGCCAGGGCATAGAAGAGAAATATATCTAGATAGACTAGTTAGTTAGTTGATTTAATTTAATGGCGTTATGGTTGAGATAAATGCATTTAAATCTAATGGGTTAGATGGGGTGCGCCACTCGGTGGTGTGCGCCGCTCGGTAGTGAAATACGTTATCTAGTTATAAAACTAACTAATTAATATTACTATTAGGTAGATCCCTATATATATTAGTATAAATAGTAATAAATATACTGACTGCGAAGCGCGAGGTATAGCGCTTCTTAGTATAGGGATAGGAGTTATGACTAGGATAGGTAAACTGATTATCTGCCTCGCTATAGCTACTAAAAGAGCGGTATGCTAGCGAATTAGAGAGTAATAGGAGCGGTAGTAGGAATATAAGATAACTTCTGTACCGATAAAATACTTAGTATAAGCGCCGAATAAAAAGATACTCCGGTTATATAAAGGACTAATAAAGCTATAGTATATAATCCTAATTTAGATATATATAATATAGATCAGACTATGTTACTTCTTATTTAAGATTAAGGCGGCAGAGTCTGACCGGTATCTATACAACGAGGGCTCGCAGATACCGAAATATATCTTGATATAGTACCCGTAGTATATCTTCCCGCGTACGAAATTATAGGACTAGTTATACGATCTCAGTATTAAGATAGATTATAATAAGATTATTTCGAACCTGTAGGCTACCCGCTATATAGTCAAATTCATATACTAAATAGGTCTCCTCTAGCAGTTCTAATATATTAGGATTAAGGATAATAACGACGATAAACCGGTAGGCCTTACGGTAATAGATCTAGGTATAGAAGACGATAGGTATTAGCTAATAACGAAAGTAAAGCTATAGAATAAGAAACTTAGCTAGGGATAATAACTATACCGATGAACTAGCCACTAAGAACACTACTACTAATTGAAACTAAGGCAGGGAGATACAGAGATTGAGAAGGGAGAGCGAGAAGTAAGAGCGAGAAGTGGGATGTGGGAGTTGGAAGGTGGAAGGTGCACTCCACGGCAATCATTAAATAATTTCTTAGGTATAGGATTGGGTATGGGTTTGGATTTACGGGATTTATAGGTTATAGGAATGGGCTGATTCCACGCTCTCTTTGATCACCATCTGTACTCTTGGATTCGGCGTTAGGACTCGAGTTCTTGCTTCAGTTGGAAGAAGCGCCTGCATAGTCATACGCAACTAGTTAGACTGCAACGGGTTAATTGAACTTTGATTGATTGATTGATTGATTGAAGCACCGCCCAAGCGAGGATCTGGTCGTTCTGGTAAGAGCAGCTCTGCTCTCCAGTAATGTAAATTGCAGTTATAATTCCGAATTCAAAAACTGTTAACGGGCCAGGATACCATTTCATCAAAACAAGCATTCCAGCACAACACTCACTTCTTTGTTTGTGTAGTCATGTGGAATGTATTGTTGTAGGGGAGGTCGGGCAGACAAGACATTTGCTCGCTTCGCATTCGAGTCATGGAAATCTAGGGTGTCTTTCTGTGGTGAGTTAGCAAGCGTTGATCCAGTTGGATGAGGTATTGTACTTTAACGATGAAGAATTCCCCGAGTGTACGTTTGAGACAGATGGTCAATTAGGGTCGTCATCATACCAGCTTACCAACTAGATCACTGCCAATTTTCTTCTGCAATGCGGTCACCATTCATGCCATGTTGTATCTAGGTTCGTCGCACTCTCCGGCTGTCGCTTCGAGAAGCCGCGCTGGATGCACCGGCCAAGCTCATAAGACGGCAAAGGCGCGCGACGAACCTACTTGTGACTAGACCTCGCCCTTACCCGCGGGTAGTCAAACGTGACAAACAGTAGGAACTCGTGGCCTGCATATTTTGTGTAAATTTATCCTGTATTTTTGAGTATTTCGCTTACATCTTCAGACTGCAGAGAATATTCAATGGATTTTATATAGATCAGATAAAAGAGCTGTATTTTCATATCAGGTTTTGCTACAGAACTACTCATGGTGTTTCGTATCCATCAAGAAGTCTTGATCGTTTCCGGACCCTACCTGACGTACACTGCTGTATGTCAGGTAGTGGAAGGACTCTTGCATCTTCATCGTCATCTCCATTGACCTCTTCTGGTGTAGATCTAACACTCAGTCGCCGCTTACCTTGGCTTCGTTCACTAGGAGCTTGATCTGTGCACCGTATCTGAGTGGAACCCCCCTCTCCCCCTTCCTCGTCGTCACTAATTGGATCAAATCCGCTCGCCTGGGTATCCCTTTCCTCACTAGCCGCCTGTATCTCTTCACATGAGAGATACTCATTGCTCATTGCCCTGTGTTCATCCTCAAAATCGAGCCGGGATGTGCACATGAATATCATCAGGTCTTGGATAGTCGTAGGGTTAAGGGAGCCTCGGCGATAATGGCAGATATCCCGTGCAGAGTTAAAAAGCCGCTCTACACCTGCACCAGTGGCGGGGATTGAGAGAACGTCGCGGGCAAGGCTTGCAAGCGCTGGGAATTTATGCTGGTGCTCCTTCCAGAAGATGCGAGGACCAGACCGAACCGTTCCTATTAAATTTGTTGGTTATGAATATAACGAATCAGCTGTTGTGTCACATACCGCTATTAAGATATTGCGAAAGCTCATCGTATTGGCCAGTTATTGACAGTTGAGGCACTTCTGGTTCACATATCATTTTGAGCTCAGAGATAGCTGAGGCTGATGGCTGAACCTTAGCCGATCACTGGGCGCTTAAAAGCCGTTGTTCATAGGGCTCGAGGCAATTTTCAAGACAGTTGCGATACCGTATACGCCAGTCATTATCCCAGTCCTTAGTGGAGAAAATTTCAAGCTTCTGCTGCGGCGAAACGATTGTGCCAATTGCATAAAGGTCGCCCGGAATCTGATCAGTCATAATGTAGTATTGAGAGAGCTTCCCTTAGCCGCATGGAGGGCAGCTAACATTAACTGCTTCCAAGGGACTTTCTTTCGATGAAGCTGCCGGATTAACTTTTCTAGATGGTCAAAGAGCTTATTGTAGATGCTGAAGACGAGATGAATAGTCACATCTTTCGTCTGCGAGAGAAGGGATGTGAATTTGAAGAATGGTTGTGTAATCCAAAGCAGATACTCAATCTGGCGCCATTCCTCTGCTCCGAGGGCAAATTGCTCTGGCCGTAATGCTCACAGAACTCATCAAACGTAGACTGTAGCCGCTTTGCGCGCCGGAGCATAAGAAACGTCGAATTCCAGCGAGTCTTGACATCCTGGATAGGAACAAGTTTTGGCTCCTCTGTTTGAAGGTTATAGAAGGCCTCTCGACGCTGGGGACCGCTATAGATATAAACCGCCAGGCTGCGTATCTAATTGATAAATTAGAAAATAATAGAAAAGTAAAAGTAAGGTGTATACCTTGTTCAACGTGTCAATAATCTTCCTTTCTTGCTGCGTCACACGAAGAGACTGGATGCGAGATTCAGACAACTCCATCTCAGCCATCTCGTTTTTTGGATTTGCTTTCAATTGACCAAGGAGATCCTTTAGGCTAAGCTGGATAACATGTGCTATACATGGAACCCGTATAATAGTAGAGCTATTACTTAGCTCAAGTGACTGGATAGCCTTATTTATGAAGTTCACCAAGGTATTGTTATTCGACGCGTTATCGGTGGTAATTGCGAGAACTCGGTCTGTAATATCGTGTTGTTGGAGGAGCCTAATCAGTACCTCAGTAAGATTCAGACCCGAATGGGTACCGGAAAGAGGCTCAAAGCCAAGAAGAACCTCCCGATACTCCCAGTTATAGTCGAGGAAGTAGCCAGTTACCGCCATGAACGCTTGTTGAAAGGGAGACGTCCAAAAATCTAATGCCAGTCAGAGCTTTGAGTCTACTGGTAGTTGTCGTAGGATACTCCGTTGCTGTTCCGCTACAAATCCTCGTAGCCGGGCGCGAATGGTTTTGCAGTAGGAATACAAGGCCGCTGTGGTGCAAGGCGCGCGAAAGAAATAAGGTCATGGAACTCTGGATGTTCAATGAATTGAAAAGGAAGTCGTGACATAGCGAGGAGTCTTAGAATTTTGTGCTCCCATTCATCCTGGGTAAAGACCATAGCTTTCGGAGCATGTTTTGCCTAGTAGTATAAGTATCTTGTATAGAATAGAGAGAGAGCTCTAACTCACAGCGTCCTCTATCATCTGATTAATACTTGGCCTTTTACTACTCTTGCGACAGGTCGGGCCCTTAAGATGCTTATTCATAGACGACGTTCCAGGCTGGATGTTGCAGAGTCGCGGCGCACACCTTACACATAACCATAGGCTTCCCAGTCTTTATATCTGCTACCTGGTCAAACTGTTTCCAACACTCAGAAGGGGGCATAATGAGAAATAGAAGGACTTACAGACAAGAATCTAGTTAATAGAATTCAAAACGGCTAGGGAACGACCAGGGAATAGTTAGGGGGATAGGGGGATCCAGGGAGCTGAAGATTCGAAGTTGATAGATCATGATACACACCACTTAGCAGTGGGTCTTTTGTCTTTTAATTGGCTAAGATGCGAGGGTTGCGAGGATCACCCGCAGATTCACCCTCGTAAACGGCGGACCTGTGAATTACTGTATCCGATTAGCTTTGCCTTTTTGGGGTTAGAGCCCCAATACGCCGTCTCGTACCCTCCATTCAATACCCCCGACATAAAAGACTCGTCTTCGCTGCTCGTCCTCATTCTCCCACCTTTCCATTCTTCTACCTCTCTATCTTGCACTCATCGCTGCGCCCCTGCAATTTCGCCCGCCCAATCGGACTCGCCGACTGCCCCATTCGCCCCCTGTTACTTTTCGGTCGCAAACTACGGCTGAGCCCTTGTTGCCTTTACAACTCACTCTTGGGATCGGAATTATTCGGCCTCTTGGCACAGGTGGCGTTGTGAGGAGGTTGCACGGCTTTTGGAAAGCAATACGGTACAGATTATCCGTTCACAGAGTATTCACTCAGCCTTCATAGTCTACTCGTTCTTCAAACGGATTATTCTCTGTCTATTCCCCTCGATCATTATCTCGTCCTAGATTCGATGATTTACCACCTCGCCAATTCTTTGTCCTGGTGCCTCGTCCGTGCTCTGTGGCTGCCTGGTCGTGATCTGCCCAGCAGCTCATTGCCTCCGCTGCTCCGTTCCATGGCTTGGTTCTCTAGTGACTGCAGGTTCTTCGCCCTGTCCCAAGTATCCAATGGCAAAAATGCCTCATCGGCGATCTCATATCTAAATATGGCAACCGGGTAAGTAGTCACTACCAACCAGCTCCCTCCCCTTCTCAACATCGAGAACCACCAAGCACTGAAACAATCGATCCCGCAATCCCGAGTCACCATACTTGGTCATCTCAAGTTCGTCACCAAAAGACTTCGCTTGGCCAGAAGTATTGGGAAATTCACGTGAAGATTTTATGGAAGGAGTAAATGGTCAATACAAGCAAGACGAGCTACCGGGGCCAACGCTGGTAGGTTCAATGATTTGACGCACATATCGCCTTAGCCACCACAGATTGATGCGCTTGAAGTTGTAATTGATGGTATAGTACGTTGGTAGGTTGAGCAAAATACTTGCCACCTGGACGCCGCTGATTTCCCGATCATGTGAGAGGGTATTGAAGCAGCGAAGGGCAAATTTATCCAAGCCCTTTTCTCGAAGCCGTAGATCGTTTGCTGTATGAGATTCGGTAGCCTGGGCCTTTCAATGCGTTGTTTCAACAGGGCTGCTTTTGCCACAATCTGCCATGGGGATACGTCGTCTTTTGTGGCATAATTGGTGATATAATAGATCAAAGACAAAGACTTGGATACTGTCGGGGTCCAAGAGATATCGTGGTTAGATCGGATGCAGCTAGCAATGGCGGGGTACCACGGGTTAGTCCAGGGATGATTGCGTGCGAGGTGAATCAAGCCAAACTCGTCCACCCTGGAGGCGGGGATCAGATCCCGGGGCATGCCGAAGCGACAAGCATCTTTACCCGTGCCACGTTGGCGGTATTTGAAGCAGGATGAAAGATGATGTTTAGAATGTACCTGGGTCGTTTGTGCCACAGAGTCTGTCGCACGATAATCTGAGGAAGAACTCAACGTCCGTTTCCATCTCCTTGGTTGAAGGTGGCGCGCTGGGGAGATTTACTTGCGGGTCATGCGGGTCATGCGGAATAGTGTCATCGATGCCTTGCACGATGGTCGCTTCGAGGTAGGCGAAAAATACTACGCAGAGTCCGTTCACCTTCTGCTATGGTGATTTAAAGCCCACTCAGCAAATGAACTCAGCGACACAGGGATAGTACGCCCGTCTAGATGGCCTCCAAACCCCGTTGGAAACAGGGTGGGGAAGGCGGCGGTATAATAACGAGGATCCGACCAATGATTCATCAATGCAACGTGAGCACGAGTTTTATAAGAAATTACAGGAATCTGCTGACGGGGAAGGGAAAGTCTGTATATGGAGTCAGGATTTTCTATATCGCATTGTTCAGATGGGCGCGGTCCGTTGGTGAGCACGTCGAGTAAGGTGTCCAGCATCCGCACGTCAGGGTTCTGGCGTTCTCCGTTGATGCCAGTGGAAACAGACCCAGTCAGGAAATGTCTGCTGTTATTAGGGTCGAAGCTTTGATCCTGTGCTGCTGCGTCTTGTGCTGCTTGGAGATCATTCTCGTAATTACCCTGTGCCAGGTTGACCGTGTACCCTTCACGTTCATGGTGGTCTGGCCCGTCAAGTTGGATAATATTATCCCGTAGCTCTCGCGGGATGAATTCGTCGCTCCAATCATCTATCATCGGTTGATTAACGGTTAATCCACGATATAGATGATTATATCGAACGAGATATTGCAAAGCCGCTAGAACCCTTTGTCCGAATAACAAGATACGGTCTTAAGTCCGTGTCTGACGGGGGGTGATACCCTAACCAGAAAGCTTTGATGAGGTTATCCAACCTCAATTCCACACTTGGCAGGATTTGAAGCGGCGGACCTGGGTCTTGTGGGGGGATGACTATGAAATGACCTCGCAGGGCACGGTGACTGATTGAGGACATCCTCCAGCGCCGATGGGTAATTCTGGCAGAGAGTAACATTGACCAGATTTTTCGCGGAGAACTTGGGGATGGCCGTGTTTGAAGGATTCTTTGCCTGTTGGAGTCTGGCCGCAGGAAGGGCGAAGGGTGTGGTATTCCACCGAGGCGAAATATATTGGGAGCAGGAATGCTGTCTTGATAGCTATCAGCAACCTCAGTAGAAGAGAGCCTTTCCGGCGCGGAGGCGAGCCGGCGATAATTCTGTTTCCATTGGCGACAGCGATCACACGTTTTATACCGAGAAGACTGCCAGGTCCGGGCGCAATTTGAGCAGAGCGCACGTTGTATAGGTGGGGGCAAAGTTGTGGACTGTGGGAGATATTGTACAGTAGAAAGGGACGCCGGTACGTCACCAGTAGCAAGCAAACGACGACGGAGTCTTTGTCGGTGGGCCTTCTGGCGACAGGCGGGGCATGTCTTATATAGAGGCGACTGCGTAGGTCGTCGCGAGGAGCTGGAACACAGCATGATATGCGTAGTGGGGGATTCCATAAGAGTGGCACGGATAGTTATTAAAGCAACACGAGAATCTATTAGGCAGGTAGGGCACGTAGCAGCTGTAGACGAGGCAGGCGGTTGAAGAATCTCCATGTTTAATATACGATAGGGTCGGCAGTAAGTGACATGAAAGGAGAGCCCTTTTGAGACTATACAAATAACGAAGACAGAGGGTAGGAGAAAGCAGTGGTATATGTGACAGGCCAGGCATGGGAAACGCAAATGAAGGAAACAGGCGAATAGCTAGAGCGAAGCAAGAGCAATGAAAACTGGGCAATACGGAACAGAAGAGAGAGTGGAACCATGACAAGTAGCGTAGGCATGTAAGCTGACGTTAACAGTAGGCTTAGACCGAATGGGAGCTTTCCAGTAAGCAGTCTGCAGATATCTGCATTATGGAACGCAGGGGCAATGGTACAGAGCCCCGAGGTTCGGGGCTTGCTTACTGCCGAGACGGAGTTTATTCACAATTGCATTTGAGTTTGATTTCCGAAGCTAGCGGTTGTTGCTCAGCGCATTCAGAATCTCCTGGATTCATGGTCCGGTGTAGCAGACTTCAGGCAGACCCCCCAGGTTCTACAGTAAGCATACTGCAGAAGCATACATCAACAAATGTGGATCAGCAAACAAGATAATTTAACCTAGTGAGTAAACCAATGAAACACGCTGCCAGGGAGGCTGTCGCCGGCGCAGATAAATAGCAGTACCTCATCGAAATATCAAGCCTTGTAAATCGACATTACTGCTTCAGGGACAAATATCGATGATGAAGCCAGCCTTTATCGCTACACTCCTTGTGATTCTGTCTGCCTCGGCGCTGGGAACAGTTGAACCCAGGCAAGACGCCACAAATTCGTCCTCCTGTATACAGGCGGTATGCTTAATTTTTTTACCGTGACACCAGCCCTGTCTGACTTCCTAATCCATTGCCAGTGCTCCCGCCTCGTTCGCAATACTGACTACCGTACGCATTTCCCCGGAAATGGCGACCTTGAAGTCTGGGATGCCAAACAACAAGAGGTTCGGTCCGCTTGCCGGGTTCAACCTACATCTACCGACGATGTTGCAGATATTCTGAGCGTAGTCCTAGATACATCTTGCAGTTTTTCAGTCAAGAGCGGCGGACATGCGCGGTATCCAGATGACTCTGTCTCTGTTGGAGGGGTCACGATTGACTTGCACAGAATGAGGTCCACGGAGGTTTCCACGGATCGAAAGTCCGTCAGACTAGGTGCCGGCCATGTTCTGTACAGCATGTTCTCGGATCTCGGGAGACATAACCTGACTACAGTTGGAGGCAGAGCCAGCGATGTCGGTATTGGTGGATTTGTTCTAGGAGGCGGGTTCTCACATCTCTCGCCCCAATACGGACTGGCAAAGGATAACGTCTTTCAGTATGAGGTATGGACAGACTCCATTTCCAACATTGAGATACATGCAGTTGGACATCCAAAGTATTAACGGGTACCTCAATCAAAGATTGTCCTCCCCAATACCACAGTGGCAATCGTGAAGAACGTACCCACCCCGATCTCTACTTTGCCCTTCGCGGGGGGATGAACAATTTCGGCATAGTGACATACTTTACCATGAGAGCCGTCGAACAGGGGCAGCTGTACTCAGGGCAAAAGACTTACAAAGCAGATCAGAGGGCCGCTACCACAGACCAGGCCTACGAGCTGACGACCCGCTGGAAAAACGACACCGCGATGTCCTTCTACTACAGCTTCGGCTATAACCAGGAGGCCGACGATTACGATCTTTCAGTTACCCAGACATATGCCCAACCGATACTCGATCCGCCCGCCTTCCGGGAGCTCAACCAAATCCCGTCTGAATCGAGCACTCTCCGAATCGACTGGCTGACCGAGTTTAGTAAGGAGGTGGCTTCGGCAACGCCTCCTGGTGGTCGGTAAGAGCTCACTTCCCGGTCCGGACCCGGACCCACGCTGCAAGGAAGTTGCGAGCTAACTACAGAGGTGCAGAAACCTGTTTGCGACCGTGACATATAGTCCGTCCGCAGAGCTGGACCGGGAAATTCAGGATATCATGGCCGAAGAAATCCAGTCCGTCAAAAAAGCCCCATCATTCTTCCCAAACCTTGTTATCCAGCCATTATATGAAGGCGCCATCCGCGCTGGGAAGCAGCGAGGCGGGAGTGCTGGTGGTACAGATGCCGATAGCCCACTCACAGGTATGCCCAGATGACCAGGACAGCCTTCCGGAAACAAGTCTCCGGATTCTAACAACCTGTAGTCGTTCTCCTGACCACATTATGGAATGATGTCGCCGACGACGACGCCATGACTACTTTTGTGAACAGATGGGTTGAGAGATCTGAGGCTGCCACCAGGGATGCCGGCAAATATCACCCTTGGCGCTATATCAACTACGCAAGTAAGGAGCAAGATCCATTTGCGGGGTATGGGGAGGAAAGTCTGCAGCGGCTCAGGAACATCCAGGCGAGCATTGACCCTAACGGCGTGTTCAGCTCAACCGGACTGTGCAGGGGGTATTTTAAGTTGCGCTAGTTTAGGAGGGTTACTCTATGGGAAAAGCGAAGCGGGCAGCCGGGGTCAATGGAAAAGCATATAACGGTTAGTTTTGCTGTTGTTGTAAATCTCCCAGTATACTTTTACTATTACCAAGACGTCGAATATAAAATCCCACTCTTTATAACCATAAGAATATAAATCCATAGTGGGGCCGCTTCCATACTTTAAAGGCGAGCCAGAGGATCCATGGATGAGTGTTAAGCAACCTGCATTAGCGTGGCCACAATTGACGAATTATACACGGGGATTTCTCGGGTGGAACGACCACTGTGTCCGGCTTGGGCATGGTGTCAGAGACTGACCATTGCCACAACCTTAAAGCCACTGAGATAGTACCTTCTCACCCTATGCCAAGGAGTAAGCAGGTTGCATGAGGGTCGGCTATCATCCAATGATACAACACACCTTAGAGAGGAACTTGAGGATTTTTGCCTCGTGGACCTTTGCCTAACGTGGTGCTTCTCACTTGATAGCACATACCGTGTATTTGGGAGATTGTAGGGTATCAGAATAACACCCGCTATGCGCCATGTATCCGCACCATAGTCGTTGACTCATCGGTACTGGCTGGAGGTGACTCGAACAAAATGAACCAAATAACCATGCTTCAGCTAGTTTCAATGTCAATTACAGATGTGCGGGACATACTTTGAGCTTTGAAGCCACAGTGGATGTGCCAGGTGGAAGCAGAACTATAAGGAGTGCCTGCTATCCAAATGGATGTCGAAGAACACAAACCCAGTTGATTGCATTTCAAACCTCGACCGCACACTGGCAGCAACATGGTGCAATTCAAAGCCCCCCTCCTGTTCCATAATGTGGCTGTCGCACATGCCGCCGTGGTCCAGGATGACACTTACTTCTACGGCCAGAGTCCCCCAGTGTACCTACCCTACGCCCAATATGACGGACCCCGGGGATTGAGGGCACGCACTTTCCAAAGCCCAATATCTGGTATCCCAGATGTCTCTGGAAGAAAAGGTAAATCTCACCGGAGGGTCTAAGGACGGCACGGATGGCTGTGGTGGGAATATACCCGCTATAGATCGCCTGGGATTCCCGGGAATGTGCGTTCAAGATGGTCCCAATGGGATCAAAGGCGTGGATCTTGTTAACGGCTATCCATCCGGTATCCACGTTGGTGCGAGGTATTATAACTGCTGGCGAACGATATCCGGACTCTTTTGCTAACAGTTATACTAGCTGGAATAAAAGCCTCGCTTATCACCAGGCAAAGGCCATCGGGAATGAATTCAGGCGGAAGGGTGCGACTATGGCCCTGGGCCCACCGGCTGTTGATCATCTTGGACGGATTGCGCTGGGGATCCGGGTGCCAGCACGGCAGGTCTAGCTGAGGTTCAAATTGATCCCACAGTCGACCGCGGAGCCAAGATCGGCATTAAGAATATATTAGTCTATACTAGTCAGGTTTGAGACACTCCAGATCAAAAACTGAGCTTGCATGAGAAAATCTTGCCTTGTAATCAAGCTAAAAATACATGTCTGGGGATTGTCAGCATCATCGGAAAGGGGATTTCTGCGGCCTGATTGGAGCTCATAGGGCAGTACTGCCGAGCTGCAAGCCAAGCCCCAAAATATCCGGTGCAATTAATTAATTCGAATGATTTCTCGTAACATGGATGAGAAATTTTAGTGCCGTCCTGTTTGACTGTCCGAAATTGCCGTGGGAGAAGTAGTAATGATCTGCAGTTAGCCTCGAAGCAGGTATCTATTTAAACCGATGTTGTATTATGATGAATAACGAGGGATAGAAGTTTTGACCTGAGCTTGTGCACCAAAGGAAAATATCACAAACAAAAGACCATGCATGTCCGTGGACTCTCCTTTGTTTTACTCTCTACAAGTGTTTACTGCTTATCGCCGAACCCGTCCTTGGAGCGGCGAGCGACCACAGAGATTCCATCTGACTCTTTCAACTCTCTTGACACGTACTGGAATTATCTTTATCCCTGGGGCGACACGCACAATGGTGGTTCACGCATGGATGCCGACCATGTCTCTGTGAGTGATGGCATTCTCACTCTGACGGCCGAGCCTGTATCAGGTGAGCCCTCACCCATCCATTACCTCTCGGGGGCGATCCACGCCAAGTCGACCTTCGCAGTTGAGGAAGGTGGCGGATTAGACCTTAACGCCGAGTTCATCGCGCCTATATCCAAGGGGACGTGGCCAGCATTCTGGCTGAACGCGGCGAGCGGGTGGCCTCCGGAGATTGACATTGCCGAGTGGAAGGGCTCTGGTAAGGTCTCGTTCAACACGTTCAATACGTCAAGCGAGGTCACCACGCTGGATCTCGACTACCCAGATCCGACGGACTGGCACTCCGTCAAGGCCGAGCTCCGTGATGAGAATGGGTCGGATGTTAGCGTCAAGTTGTACCTTGATGGAGAGCTAGTAATGACCCAGTATGCGAGGGAATATGTTGGCCAGGGACTGCGACTGTATGTTATCACGGTAGCGATTTGACTGAATTATATCTGGCTGACTGACCGTGCAGAATTATCAATTACCAAACAGAGGGTTCTTCTGGTTCTCCTGGGCCTTCAAGAAGTTTGTATTCCTGTTCGATTTATGATGTTTGTATATGCACTGACATTGTGGGTTACAGCGACGACTTTCCAGGTTCGGAATGTCGAGGTCATCAGCCAGAATGCATGAGTCTGGTCAATATCTTGGAAACCCCATTTGTGGTTAGGTTACGAGGATGTTCTCCACGGTGGCAGTCTTTTGGCGACTTACTCTGCGTTTCTCACACTCGATGTCCCGATTTTGAAGCATTTATCTTCATCTTATTTCTGTGCTCCACCCTTGATCAACCACTTGCTGCCATTTTATTTGCCTTTCTTATCCCTGTCACTCGTTACATCACACTGTACCTCATCCTCGGGATCAGGTATATGTCTAGTTGAATATGAAAGCAGCACTTAACCCAACTAGAAGCGAACTATACACAGCAACTATAACCTAACTTCAAATACTAAAATAGTCGTGGGACTCTCGCTAGTCTAGGGAGACATGGAAGTACATGGGAGGTTTGGAGGGCAATTGATGGTTGATCAGAGTCGACGGACGTGGGTCTGGGTTGATTTCGGAAAAGCATGATTTTACAAGCATGGGTTTCACTGTTGCGATGTTTTTCGTGGAACATCGCCGAGCTCCGAGGCTGACATGGGGTTTACCGAATCTGTGCTATCCGTCCAGAACTTACTCCTTACGGACAGTTGCCCCGATAAGTTCTTTGCAATGGCCGATTGTATTGGTAGAGTAGAGCACACCATGTCAGGCCAAGACGCATAGGCAGGGGTGCAGGGTCGGAGTATTCCGCGTTAGTTCTGTTTTCGGAAAAGCGGCACTTCCCGTTGTCGAAAACATGGGAATAGGAAAACATGGTTTCGTCGTTATTTGATCGGTAGGTTATAAGACCCTGTGCCGCGTCAAATTAAACAGCGATGCGGACAGCATAGCCAATTCTTCTATATACACTTTATCTCCCACTTTGCTCGATTTTCGGGATGGGTCACTAGCTTTCTTACAATAGCCCTTTATCTTACTATCTTACTATCTTACTCTCATATATCTTGCAATGTCATAGCGAATGTTATCCAGAACGAACCTTGAATGAGAGTCCCAGGCATGAAGTGACTTGCTCGAGACGTGGAATCAGCTTTGCTGGGACCTTTTAGTGGGCTTATCCCCTCAATTGGAGGCTTTGGGGATTGGCATGAGCTGTTGTCGAGGATATAGTTCGCTGGCTAGTTATACTGTAGGAATATTAGCAATACATATAGGATGCCCAGAACGCTACTGCATAGACCGGTTACCCTATCAAGAGTACGTATAATGGGAATAATAGCAGGTAGAATAGGTCTAACATAGCTGGTCAGGCCGTGACAGTTGCAGCGTATTTACATTATTACGGCAGTTACAATTTCTCGATCCAACTCAGGTCAGCCTTCACACATCAGGCCAAAAATGCGTTTCCAAATCAGGGGCCTTTCTCCTCTACGGATCTCCAAAAGTTTGTTGATCTGAGAAGCTCAGGACAGCCCTGAAGAAAGGGCCCCCACTTCTTAGCAAAGTTTTCAGTAACCTCCCAGTTTTGCGCATCCCAGGGTGCTCCCCAAACGAGAAGCGTGGCATTGCTTCTACGCGTGTCCCAGAACGCCGTTAGGTCATGACACAGTTCGTCATTATCAAGATAATCACCCGCCTTGGTGAGGTTATCCCGCATGCGCGGGAATGGGAAGATGTCGAGCCATGGATGATGTGAAATTTCTCTCTGCAAGGTTGTTGGGCGTAAACTAGCTGGGGTGCTGTGCTGCCCCTGCCTGACACGAGGGCCGTCGATACAGAAAATGGAAACAGTGTCATCTTGGCACATCCATTCTGCGGCCATACCTAAAATAGCAGCATTCTGGTAGGCTGCCCGGAGCACGTTAATTCTGCTCAGATTGATAAGGAGATCTGTCTGTGGCGAACCACCAAGATAACAGTTCATGGCTCTCCTTTCAAAGTCGGCCATCAGCTCGTGCACATTGGAAGGGGCGAATGTGCAGCGGAGATGCTCCGCCTGCGATAGTCTACATGTAATCGGACCCGACTGTGGGCAGGGAAAGCTCAATAATGGAAGGTCGCGGTCATTATTATCTGGCGCTTCGGACTTCTTGCCACCTTGTTGTCGACGTGACCCTGCACAGAGTGAATGCCGTTTATCATCAAGGGCTCCAGTATCTATAATGGGTGCCTTACGATACGCTCTCTGATTGAGGCGATTTTGGACTCTGCGCCTTTTGACCGGATCGGTTACCCCGGCCCAGTCATCCACGTTGGTAACGGTTGCTGTCAACTGCGACGTCCGCTGTAGGTTGGAGATAGAATTTAAGCAAAACAACAATATTGTGATTGCCTGGGTATGTACACTTTGCCTGTGGACGAAGACGAGGGAATGGCTCTGAGGTAAATTTGTGCGCAGGACGCTTACACGGTGGTCGCCATTGGCCCATTGCCAGCTCTCAGGTGGCGAATGGCGGAGGAATGGTCTTAGCGTTTCTTAACTCCGGCCCCAGTCCACAACCATAATCCAAATCCGGCATACGAACCAAGTCTGACCTCACACTTTGTTTCAACCTTCCGTAGCTAACTGGGTAATGCCGCATGCCGGGGTCTCGGAGTGCCGAGCCCCGACCGACCGAGTCCCCTTCTTAGTCTGTCTCAGCAAGCCCACAAATTTGGTAGCCCATGTATCTACTGCATCGTTCCCAAACCCCTTGCGGTGTGTAGACGAAACAAGCAAGATCCGAATTTCCGCTCTATATTCCTTGCGGATGTCACTCTTTTAGTAGTGTATCCGAGATAAGGTGGTTTTCGACACTAGTAATATTTTCCCGGCCCTGTCATCTATAGTTGGGCACCACGGGCGGGAAACAGTCCACAGATTGAGCGACCGAATGGCTGATAAACAAAATTGTCGCTTCGCGTTGATTTGCAACCAAATGGTCGACAGATAATGTAGCCGTATAGGACACCCCACAAACTTGAATACGTAGCGAATTTCAGCTTCGGTGCGAGTAAGCAGTACCAAAATCCGCTTGAACCTACCCGAACCCCGATATTGCACGGTTACTGAGCGAACAACTTAGGCCAGAAAAAAAGAAAAACCGTCGCACTCCACCGCGGCTCGGCCTCCGATGTGCCGAGCACTTTCGATTCTAAGCCAGTATTTGAGTGGCAGCCACTACTGCTACCGCTCAGAGCTTGCTCTGGTGTATATAAAGGGGGCATTCACGCGGCCCATAGATGCGGACGGCCTTCCAACGCCTGCTCAGTTTTGATTCCATTGAACTTTACCTTACCATTGCCCGCAGCAGACAGAAATGACACCCAAAGAATCCGGCGACGTGTCGAACATACTGCGTCCCCTTGGTCAGGATTTACGGGGGAAAACAGCAATCGTGACGTACAGCCCCCTTTACTTGCGTTTTTTGAAACCAGCAGGCCTCGCGCGGTAAAACGAGCGCTGAAGATCAATGAAATAAACCATTTTCGTTTTTGGCTCTAATATGGAGATAGTGGAGCAACACGAGGTATCGGGCGAGCGATAGCGTTGCACCTTGCAAGTCGAGGAGCATCAATTCTCGGCACATTTTCGTCACCTGAGTCAGCCTATCGACTTGACGAACTTACTCGCGCGGTTCTTGACCTGTACTGCGATTTCGAGGTCGACGCGCCTAAAATAGTGGGAGTTGCCGCCAATGTGCTCTCTCTTGATAGTCCCCGACTGATAAAGGAGGCACTTATCCGCCATTTCGAAGGCAAGGTGAACATTGTGATTAACAATGCCGCTTATGATCCAATGCGGGCGATGGGGACTCTGGATGATGCATATGTGCAAAATGTATTAATGGGGAATACGCACGCTTTGGTCATGCTGATGGATACACTTTATGCGCACAACATGATTCAACCAAACTCGAGAATTGTGAGCATCTCAAGTGAGTCAGGTCGCAGAATCCCATTCCCGTAAGTTGATCCACCTTCTATGACCGAGCCAACTTGGCGGAGTAGAGCGCCGGCCATATATTAACTGGTTCATGCAGAGAAATGTATCTCGTTGGAGCTACCAAAGCAACGATGGAAGCACTCACGCGGTCTTGGGCTGACATCTTGGGTGCCAGCCCTACCACGACAGGTACTACTGTGAACGCGCTCCTTGTTGGTGCAACTGCCACAGATGGCCTTCTCCGAGAGGCTCCAACTGTATTTCGACAGAGAGCGACTGATGCTCTTCAGTATGGCTCGAATCTCACGGATGGAGTGGCACTGCCGGAGGACATTGCGAATGTTGCAGGATTACTTGTCAGTGAGAGGGCTAATTGGGTGACAGGAAGCGTTGTCTGTGCGAACGGAGGCAAATTAAAAATCTTGTGATCAAGCACTCTGTTAGCTTTATCAAGGCTGAGTTGCCTGCCATTCTTGCCCTTAAATTTACTCATGCTACAACCCCCCGCTCGTACAATTATTTCGTGAATGAGGACAGAAACGTAGGAAATCTGAGATCGAACATTATCCTAAAGATAGAAAGCTTTTCCCACATTAGTTGTCTGTGCACTCGTCTGCGCTATGGGTGTTTTTGTTTCGCTTCGGTCATTCGGTGTGTAGATTGGGCCAGCAAGGAGGTTACGCTCTTTATTTACTCAAATTGTTGCTGTTGACGAAACGTAAGCTTGCAACATTAGCAGAATATCTTATCAGATACTCATCGTTCAGGCCACGAGGTCAGCTGCCACCTGTCCTGCCATCTAGGGCTGTGCTGAAAGCATTTCGGATATGGTATATTCGCCGGGTATTGCTCTTGCCGAATGCCCGAACCAGAGCCCACTATTTCAGTGCCCTTACCGCAGAGCTGGATGGAATGTACACAATTACTTTATATGCCTGCTTCAGCCACTAGTGTAATAAATATCGTCAACGTACAGTCCATTTCTCCCACTAAAGATTCCGTAGTATAGTCATCGTAGGTAGATATAATTGAATCGGTTCCTGGTATCTCCTATGGTGGTATATATTGACCAATTACACATATGAAGAAACGTCTCGTAGCTATAACATCCGTTCCACTGACTTCAAATTTGGGATATTTTTGCTTGCCGTATAATATACTGGGGCTGTTCAATTAAATATCAGCCTTCAGTACTATACCGTGCATACCGTGTACCGTAATTTCACTCAAGAAACACATAAACATAAGGGTCATCAGCCAAATATTCAATCTATTCAATCTCACGTCTTCCAAGGCATGCTTGAATTAGTAATGAATGTCTATCCTTGCTAGTCGTAGAGTATCAAATCCAGAAGTCCCAGTACGAGACTACTACTCCTTCGGTTTTGGACAGTCCACCAAGACGTGAGCGATTGTTACTTGCGCGCCGTTGGCGCAGTGGCGGTCGTCGCGAATCCCAGCTGGCCTTGGTCTATTTAAACAACCAATTGTGGCCCGTGCATAGCTGTGTCAGATAAGGCCGGTTTCTCAGCAGAGACGAACAAAGCTTCCGAGCGTAGGTAGCTAGCAGTTTGCTGTCGATCTTTTATGACCGCCTTTGGTGTGTGATTTCCGATTCCTACTCCCACTGAGCTTGAATGTTTTCGCGGATGGGCTGGTTTTGCAAATGCTTCTTGCGGGGGATGACCAAACTCCCGTCGGATTATCTAAGGTTGCATTTGAAAGCTGGCAACAGCAGCTCCAAGGAGTCTTTCATCACGTGGTGGAGATGATGAAGGAAGCTGGGTTCAGATCTATGCTCTATTTGGAAAATTTGTGAGAAACCGGTGCGTTAAGGAACTTGACTCTTGCAATGTATCTCGACATTAAAAATGTGTTGGAAAGTTGCTGGTCGAAATCAACCCGCGACGTAACTCCCATCAAAACAGAATACTACAGTATGACAAACTCTGGACTGGGTGCTGATTCTGAGACGTAGGAAGCTGCACGGAATGCTTTGCGCGAAACCGAGCCTGCACGTCGCTCCGAGCGAATACTTGGTTTTTTTGATTACCTAGCGAAAGGTGAATTTGACTATATGCTCCTGTTTGAGGGAAATTGATATCACCCCTAGTACGGTACCCTAGATTATTACACGAGGGGACTCACAATTTAACAGCTTTGATCAAAGCTTCGTTGGTGACAGCTGTGCTCGGCACAGTTCGTCATCATCAAGATAATCACCCGCCTTGTTTGTCCTCACCTACGCGAACTGTGGCTAACAATTCACCCCAACTACCATGAAACCGCATGGTCAGTATAGAGGCAAGCGACGATGCAAGGTGCGAATGTGTGGCAGAACAAAATAGCAAACGGGATCGATAGTAAATGGGCAGCTATACAGACTTGCAGAAATTGCTCTCTTCCCCAACAAACACTCATGGCGGTAGACACAACACAGCCAAAGGGGGAATCTATGAAGGGGTTTAGATATCTTAAAGGAACCTGTGATCACACTAATTTCTCAAGGTATGTAAGTCCTTGGCGAGCCAATTATTGCATGACTGAGCACATTTTTACAATCACAGGGCTCATTGGCTGTGAGGGAGCGCAAGTCTTACGTCGCTGGGCTCGTGGCAGTGACAGCCGTAGTCACGGAAGCTCTGAAGTCCTTGGTTTCGCAGCACCCCCCCTGCGAGGATTGTTGTTGACGCAGACTTATCCTGCGAGACACAGTTGATAACGCAGAGCCTATCCTGCGAGACACAGTTGTTGACGCAGAGCCTATCCTGCAAGAAACAGTTGTTGACGCAGAGCCTATCCTGCGGAGCACCTTCTTACACTCGCGGGGCTCGTGGCAGCGAGGGAGCACAGTCTTACATCGCTGGGCTCGTGGCAGCAACAGCCGTGGTCATGGAAGCTCTCAAGCCCGTAGGCACGAGAGGGCACCATGACACATCGGAGTGGGAGGACGGAAGTCCTGATTTTTTTGGGCTGGGAATCCGGCTCCTTTTATATTTTTTCGGCTACGTCTCGACCAAGGAACCAGTTGCGCAGATGGTAGCGAGAATTACTGTCTCGTTATTGGCGTTGAAGACATTTGAACAATGTTGAAATGGTGTTTGGAGACTTTGTGGCCTACAGACTCAAGTTTCGACCTGGATTCATTGCTTTCAAAAACCTGCGTTGAGTATGGTGAACCACTTCATCAACTGTTGAAAAGACAGTGATAGCGCAAGAATATGATTCTTACATATCATTGAATTTGCAAGTAAATCGCTCAACGCGGTGGCAGACTACTCTGCCCGTTTTGACTATGGCCACTAGCCACGGTCACCGTCTCTTTCATGAGGGCTGAAGCGCTTCAACAGATGCCGCTATAATGGGTTGGAGACTTTGTGGCAGACAGTCACATTCGATTGTGTACCCGTGGTTGGCCATAAGACGTGCCTCCCATTGATCCCTCTACAATCCTCTTTGCCTAGCCTCGCGCTAACGGTACTTTTCTGTGTTGCTCACATCCAACTGATCTTGCCTCTACTAGTACTTCTCCTACCTGTCGGTACAGACACTATGACATACTCTCAAACCCAGGATGGTGATTCTCTTTCTTTGGGGGAGAATAACCAAAAAGTCTAGACCCTGTTGGAAATCATACAGTAGGAATCTGGGTCTAGTTTCCGGGACAACTGAGTCAACTAATTAACGATGTATTTTTCGATACCATAACAATGTAAGTTCTCGATTTATTCAAAATTGATATATGATATAAAAATGCTTATCAATTGCTATCGGCGAGTGCTGAAATTAAAAAAACGCGTTGGTTATTGAAATATCATGTTATATTTATCGCTTTTACCATGTGTTCTGGGGTAGGCGGCTCGGTAGTGAAATACGTTAACAAAAGTTGGGGTGTCCATATCAATTTGTCGGAATGTGGTCGTTACAGTACGGACTAGTACGGGCATAGCCAATTGAGTACTTGAGAGTGTGATTTTTATATACTATAGAAAGTGCAGAATAAATAGGGGTTGAGCTTAGTAAGGTCGTTGAGAGCCTTAAAATCATCAGGCAGATGGGGGTGCTGAATATTCCGGGCGCACTAGTAAAATTGCGACCCTGTTTTTTGACAAACTAACTATTTACCAGCTTTTCTGGCGGGCCGGGTTGGGCTTTTGGTGGGCTGTAGAGTCTTATCAAAAGATGTGCATTTTGTACGGCATTGGCGTTATCCGATGTACACGAAGCGCGGAGATAGGGGTTACGATCCCTAATTCCGTTCAGAATCGACTTTATAAATCACAAACATTTCCTAATGAACTGACTTAACCTCCAAATTCACCAATCTAAATCCAACAGTTATCACTTTAGGACACGCAACGCTGAATTTTCTAACCTTTGCACTGACGTGCGGCAACATTTATGGATCCGTTTCGAAAAAGATTCTCAGTTGATGACATCCCTAGACTATCCGGCAAGGTCATCATAGTCACCGGGTGAGAATTACTAATATTATAATAGATTTAATATAGGCTAACACAAGGTTCTTTCCCCAGTGGTGCCACTGGAATTGGGAAACAAGTGGTGGAACAGCTATTGAGGCACAATGCCAAAGTATATGTTGCTTCTCGATCGAAGGAGAAATTTGAGCAACTTTTTAACCACCTGGAGTTAATCGACCCACTTATGGTTGCAGGCTTGTGCTTTCTGGAGCTTGACTTGTCAGATGCAACTAGTTGCATCTCTGCGGCAAAGCACTTCACTGACCTTGAGGGAAGACTTGATGTCCTTATTGCGAACGCTGCGTTGGCTGTTGTAGTGAGTTACCTCTTGTGGGCACTAGATTGAGCACTGAGAAGGGCTGGACCGATGCTAATCAGGCATAGCCAGAGACACTGTCAAGTGATGGAATTGAGGTACAGTTTGGTGTAGGTTCTAAATATTCCCTTCGCTTGGTTGATGTTTTCTGACTTTCATGAAGACAAATGTAAGAGAACATATATATGTATGCTTCCGTACAAAAGCTCAACGTGTTTCTGTCTTGGTAGTACTTCGGCCATTTCGTGTTCACGCGCAACCTTCTGGTATAACCTTGTTATAATTACTTATTCTTTGTCTTACATCTATACTAATTGATTGTTAGAACCTGATTCAATACACTTCCGAAGCATTTGGTGAGGCGAGGGTTGTCATTGTTGCATCGCATGCTCATGCCATGTATAAGCCGGTTCTACCGAACAAAATCGATTTTGAAGGCCTAAGGACGGAGGGTCAACAAACAATAAAGAGCCTTGCGGATGTACAAGCTAGCTTGCAGAGGTCGGTTTAACCTTCCAAATTTTGACGATTTCGGCTGTTATTCCCTTGAGAGTACACATATCTCGGGAACTGAAGAGCTAGAGGCAAAAATGAACGAAACTGAAATCCTTATAGGTACGCACGTTCAAAGCTAGCTAATATACTATTTGCCCGGCGTCTCCACGCACACTTTCAGGCAACAGGTTACTCCAACATTCTTGTCAATTGCCTCAATCCAGGTAGGGGATTTAAAACCAAATATTGATTACGTGCTAATTAGGCTCTTGCAGGCACTGTCGGCACTGCTCCGGGGTCTGACTCAGCTGCACTGCCGCCAGCGTTCAAGTTCGTCAACACTTCGCTCGTCCGATTGATGAGCATATCGCCAGAAGACGGGGCTCTGACAACGCTGCTGGTCGCTACAGACCCAGAGATTAAGTCAAAGTCACTAAGTGGGCGGTATTTCGACGTTGGACCGCTTGCTGGAAAGTTCTACTATGGCTACACTTGGGATGCCACAGACTCAAAATTGTCTGATCTAGCAAAGGATGAGCATCTTGGAGAGATGCTATGGAATTGGAGTGCGGAAGCAGAGGCCTCAATCAACCTGTTCGTTTAAACGCAATCCGGATTATCACATCCAGATTGCTGCATCCTCTTGTCAGGTATAACTATGTTACGGTTCTCACTATCCAACCCCAAGTTCAAATTTTGCTATGTCACTGTGTTCTTGATACGAACTCAGATCTTGGCGTTGGGGTTTTGGCAAATAAGATCCGCCGAATACCGAAACCTGTCATTAGTGTAATATTGGTGATCTACCGGAAATACCTCAGGAGAAGATGGTGGGGACTTTCTGACCTAATTAGGTTTAGCGCGATCTGAGTGGGTCGCTGGCGAAAAAGCCTGCGTGTCCAAGGGGTAATCTGTTTTCGAATTCTACTGTACTAAGCTATGAATTTCGATCCATACTGTAAGCAAAAGGGGTACTAAGAATAGTTATAAATATTGGAGATAGCAAGGGAACTACTGTACAGACGCGCAAGTTGAGGACTGTACAATACAGAAAAGCAACGAGAACTTGTGCTACGTGGCGACGGAACCGATTTCCGATATCTATTTTGAATAATAGCGGGACGGGCCGCGATGCGAACCCCTGAACCGCCCGACCGCGACGAATATGAAGATTCACCGCCACGATTGTCGAGACCAAGGCGCACCACCAGACCACCAAATAGTTATGCTCGAGAGCAGGAGATCGGCAACGATCAGAGAAAGACACGCTCTCAACAGAGGAAAGTTAAGCCCCGCAAGGCCCGGGTAGGACGACACGCGCGTCGGTGGCGTGCCGCAAGAATGAAATGCCTCAGGCCTGATCTCAAGAATCTCCCCAGCTCCATCACTGTCAAACAGGCTCTTTGGCACAGCGGCTATGCTACCAACGGGGAAATGAAACGTGACCCGAGCTCGAGAGAACGGAGCCAAGCCGCGGTCTAAGTGGTTTCCCCTGCGTCGGACCTAACGTCCGTAACGACTTTCTTTTGACTTTTATTTATATGATTAATTTGTACGATAATATATAACCTTCTTATATAGGTAGCCGGTAGTGTGTTATTAACTCTTTACGGATAACTACCCTTGGTGGCAGAAATCTGTACTTGCTTATACTGCGTAATAATCTTGATTTAGACTACTGCCTGTTTCCCTTATAAGTATAAGGCAGAAAGGGCTGTGTTCTGCCTACGTATACGGTATACTTAATTAGATAATTTTCTACGTTAGTTCCTATATTACTATACTATAGTATCCTAGTAGCTATTGTAAGTAGAGCGCGAGTCTATTTACCTAAGCCTCTATCGCTGCCTAAAGATTTTACTAGCCTTATTTACTTTAATATTTACTTGATTCTTTTAGTATCTTAACTTAGCCTATCTAACCCTTTATTTAGCCTAGTAAGGGAAAAGTATTAAATTAGGATAGACCTTATAATAGGAACTATTAGTAAGCTAAGCTTAGTCCTTGACAAGTCCCGCAGCACCAAGGCAATTTTGGTGCTGCGATATGGTACTGCGAGGTGCTACGGGACTAAGCTAATTTTGGTACTATTGTATAGTGCTGTAGTACTAAGTGCTGCAGCACTGTTATAGTACTAGTTTTAGTGCTACGCTAGTATAATTCTACTAAGGATTACCTAAAATAGATAGATAAAATACTAACTTATTTTAATAAATTACTGTTTTTTACTTATATATTAGTATTAGGAGGTAGTTATACTTACTTACTACTAAGATTTATATTAACTTATATTTAAAAAATAGATTAAAAGCTTTAAGTACTATATAAATATAGATTTAAAGTAAAATCAGCCTAAAATAGTATAGAATTAGTAGTTAATATTATATAGAAGAGAATATACTAGTATTATATATAGATATATTGTGATTCAGAAGGGATCGTATGAGTTTTCAATTCAAATAGGGTATAGGCGGATATATACTAATA